CTGGTCTAGGAGCTTCTCAGCACAGGGACCCCAGGTCCAAAGGATGCACTCCACTCCTGGCTCTTCTTGCTTGGTAGTAGGAGGTTCCTCTCCTCTCTGCTTACTTCTTTTCTATCTCAAATGAGATTGACTCAAAATACAGCCTAATCCTGTAGACTGAGTCCTGCCTCATGAACACAACTGCCTCTAATCCTGCCTCATTAACATCATAGAGGTTAGGATTACAACACATAGGAAAATCACATCAGATGACAAAACAGTGGACAACCACCCAATCCTGGGAATCACGGCCTAGCCAAGTTGACAGATGTTTTGGGGTGACATAATTCAGTCCATAACAGGTATCATAAATTGCACCAAGTTTATTACGTTGTTCGAATCTTTTACATTCTTACTTTTTTTTTTTAAATCAGCTTGTTCTCTCAGTTATTAAGTGAAGTGTGAAAAGATCTTTGGAGATGTGTCAGTTTCTTATTGTAATTCTGTCAATTTTTCTTCATTTCTTTTCAGACTCCATTATTAACTTTATTTGGTTAGACTTTTTCAGGTGTATCTTTTTCTTTCATTCTGTTATCTCATGTTTTAGGTATTTCTATGTATAAAATTTGATGTTTTTAATCCACACTGACAAAAATTTGTCTTTTAACCAATGCATTTAATGTTTACATTTAATGTAATAGCATATATGTGGATTCTGTAGTAGGTATCAACTTTGCATAACAAATTAATTCCATAGCTTGATGCTTTGTGGCCTCACCTCCCCCATCCCAGGGGTAAGAATTTGTCATGCAAATCTTTATGCAGACAAATTTGGGGGTTCATTTTCCCAGGGAGTCCCTGTATTGCTGAGCACAGGAAACTTTCCTGGCAGTCCCCTGGGGTAGGATGGGTTCGGGCAGGTATATTTTTGGTTAGCCTTCACTGAGATGTAGCCCTTTGGGGTTGCTGCTTTATTGGGGGTGCCTTCTGCCTCGGCATCCCAAGAGCTCCGGCAGCACCACCAGCAAAGTCTTGGAGCAAAGGGCTGGGGCTCGTTCCCTCTAGGGGGCCTCCTTCCCTTGGGCTTCCAGTCATTCCTTACTGTTTTGCCAGCTTCGAAGAAGATGCTTTTCGGATTTCACGCCCATGTCTGGTTGATGCTAGTAGCAGGGTTGGTGCGGGTGCCAGGCACCGGAGCACTGAGCCCGCCAACGCATCACCCCCCTCTCCGCGGGCAGGTGTTCTTCCGCGACGCTGGCTCTCCCTCTCCTCTTTCACCTCCTCCCTGGCCCTTCCCTTCTCAGACCTGGCTGCCAGGCCCCGGCCCCCCACAGGCGCTCCGTTCCCTCCTCTATCTCTGTCCCTGACACACGGGACAACCGCTTTCGAGCACCTCCCGCGAGGACTCTGTTTAGGTCCCGGGGGGCCATGGGAAGCAAAGGCCCAGTCCAGAGCTGCCTGCGGCTTGGCCTTCTGCGTGGGCCCTGCGGGAACTGCTTCCACCTGGCACTGTACATCCCACAGCTAAATAGCGTCCCGCAGGCTGGCTGTCCTGTGGGCCAGTCTGGCACGGCCCCTCGAAGGCCCACTCCCGGCTCCAGGAAGCCCGGGCCGCTCAGCATAGGTGCCGGGTGGCCTGCTCCCCCTCCCCACCCGCCCCCGGGAGTGACTCAGCCAGGCCTAAGTTCGCTGCTGGCGGTGGGTGTCCCGCCCGCGCTCGGGGCCAGGGCGGTGCCAGCTGGGGGAGCGAGGCCGGGAAACCCGGGGAGCCCAGAGCTTCCCGCACGCACAGGCAGAGGGCTGACTCAGGGCCCCACCCCGGGGAGAGGGCTCCTCACGGCGAGGGCGGGGTCCAGGGTCAGAGGACGAGGTGAGGGAGGGGAGGCAGGGGGAGCAGGGCGGGGGTGAGGGTGGAGGCCTGGGCGGCCCACTAGAGGCCGAGACCACCCTTAAGGACAGGGCGCCCCCGCCTGCTGCCGGCCTCCGCCAGCCAGGGGACGCTCGGAAGGAATTGTGCGGAAGTCCGCGGGGGGCGGCAGTGGGGACGGGTCCTCAGCTCCAGGGGCCGCGGCCGGGCAGGCAGGGCTGGGGCAGCTGCACATTCCAGAACGCCCGGCCTGCCGCCTGGAGGAGGCTTAGGGGTGGGTGAGGCCGGAGGGAGAGCTGAGTGAGAACAGCTTCATTTGGGCACCAGTGCAAGGGTCTGGGGGAGGGTGACGCGGGCCGGCCCTGCAGCCCTGCACCCACCTGCGCCCTGAGCCCCGCCCTGTGCAGTCCCTGGCCGCCTTCTGCCTTAGCCCCTCGGTCAGGGGCCCGTGGCCGCTGACGGGCGCGCTGTGTCCTTCTGGGAGGCAGTAACGGTGCTGCGGGCTGGGAGGGCTGGAGGGGCTCCTATGTGCTGCAGCAGCCCCCCACCCACCCCGCCTGGCCAGGACCAACCGCGGCCTCAGTGGGGTGCCAGGGTGGGGGATCTGAGGGAAGGCGGACGGGCCCAGAAGCCTCCCTGTCCATGGCCTTCCGCAGAGACGCGGCGCCGCCTAAGCCTGAGTTTGAGCTGGGGCGGTGGGGCCATACGCGGTGGGCTTGGGCGCTGGCTGACGGCCCGCTCGCGCTAGCTCGGGGCCCGGCCGCCCAGCGGGGTGAGGACGGGCGCGGCCGGCGCGGGCTGAGCCTCTCTCTCTCCCAAGGGCGGCCCCGGGACCTCGCCGCGCCCTGCTTAGTGTGCCGCGGCCCCTTCCAGCCGGCGCAGCCCTGCAAGCGCTGCCGCTCCTTCTGCGCCGCCGTGCTGCAGGGCGCCTCCTTCGTGCCGCTCGGCGGCGGGCAGGGCGGCCTGTGCGGCCTGTGACGCGCCGACGGGGACCGGGACTGCGACGGGGGACCGGGACGAGGACGCGACCAGGACCCGGACGAGGCGCGCGCAGCCCGCGGCCTCCGGAGCGACCAGTGCGGAACCCTACAGAGATGAAGGACTTGTATACAGAGCTATTTTAGAGAACCGAGGCTCCCGGTGGTGCTTCTTGTGCAGACCCGCCCCCGCCCGGCCCGGCCCCGCGCCTAACACCCGGCACTCCACCTCCTGCACCCCATTCCCACACACCTGCACCCCGCACTCGCACCCCATCTCCCACACCCCACAGACCCAACCCGGGTCCCTGCACCCCGCTCCCGCACCCCTAACCTGCCCTGTACCGCTCACCTCATGTCCCGTGCTTTGCATCCAGGACCTGCACCCCCCCACCCACACCTCATACCCCCTGCCGTGGAAAGGCCAATGTAGATCAGAATGAGTCGACCTCCTGGCATCCCTGAGCTCCCTGCTAGGGCGCCCCTCCAGCCCCACTCCAGCTGGCCCCCCTCCCCTCTCTCCCACACACACTGTGGCAGCTACCTCCTCATTCAACAACACCCGGCTGGTCCAGCCCAGTCTCTGCCAGCCTCCTTCCACTGGGCTGGACAGGGGCTGCACCGTGGACCCTCCAATTCCACTGGAGTTTGCCTCTGGGTCTCTGGCATTCAGCCATGTGTGTGGGAGAGCCCCAAGGCCCCTCTGGGCTCAGGCTGGGGCCCCCCACCACTGAGGGCTGCATAGGACAGGGGGCCTGTGAGGAGTCACCAGGGCAGGTCTGTGCACATTGGGGGGTCCTTGCCCCCCTGCCCTCAGAGCCAGGATGCAGGCTGCAGAGGGCGGTGACAGGCTGCAGCGGCAGGGCCAGCTTGGGACAGTAGGAGCAGCAGTGCTGGCTTTCCCAGGCTGCCCCCGAAACACCAGCAGGAGCTGCATCTGCTTGCTCGCTCTGGGGGGACAGCGGGGAGACAGGTGGGTGTGGGGGTGGCAGACTGGGGAGAGAGACAGGGTAGGGCAGGAGGGTGTCCTGGATAACCTCTGCCAGCCAGTCCCTGCTGTGCCCCATCCTTCCAGGCCAAAGCCCATCACCTGTTCACTGCATTCGCTTCTGACTCAAGCCTGTGCCCGCTTTGGACCAGGGGGCTCAGGGGCAGCCTGGCAGCCAGACCGTTATGTCTGCACCTCGGGACTCCCAGGGGCCCCGGCCTGGGGCACTGCCCCTCCGCACATGTCAGCCCTTCCCACACTTGGGGTGCTCTGTTGGGATTCCAGGCAGGGTCCTCAGGGGGCTCCAAATGTCCCTGTCTGTCCCCGCCCCCCCCCCCACGGGACAGCGTGGGAGCCCCAGTCCTGCCTGGCCTGTTGCACAGGAAAGGCTGACGTGGACCGAAAGCCCAGGACCATGGCCCTAGTCCCCGGCTGAGGTCCCCCCTTTGCTGCTGCTCACTGCTCCGCAATGCAGCCAGAGGGCTGGAGGCAAAGGGGCCCAGAGGGTCTCTGCCCGGGCCTTGTCCTGTGGGGTTTATTCACGAGTCTTCAAATCAAGAGGCACACGGACAACACTCTGAGCCTAGACCTGGCCCCAGGGGCCGCCACAGCCACAGGATGCTTGCCGTCTTTGGGGTCCGAACAGTGAGGGAGGGAAGGGGCCATGTGGACGCCTCCTTCCCACCTCAGGAACTGTGACAGGCACTTGGGCCTGGGGTGGAGTCACAGACCCCACTCAGGAATGCTCTCCTCCTTCGGGGACTGGGGGCTCGGGGGTGCAGGCACCCAGGACAGCAACTCTGCCAGCCCCCCAAGTGCCACTGACTGCCATGCCACCACCAGGACACACCAGACGAGTCTGCACGTGGGAAGCATGGCGTCTGTGGTGGCTCCCGGACCCCAAAGGAACCAGCCCCCCCCCCGGGGGGGGGCAGTTACCTGGGGCCTCTGATGCCTCAGAGGCTTGGTTCCAGGCAGTCTCCTTAGGCAGCTGGAAACCCCGCTGCAAGTCTGGCACAAGCCAGACCCCGGCGCTGCTGGCCCAGGACTAGGCGTGGCCAAGGGGAAGTCCATGGCCATGTGCGGCCGCCCACGTGGGGAACGCCCGCGGAAGCCTGCTTGCTGCACGCTGTTCTGTCTTCGGGCTGGGGAGTCAAGCTGCCAGCATCCTGCAGCCTTGTCACACCCAGATGCAGGTGCACACGTGGCCTCCAACGGTCGGCGTTCACTGTCACGCTGGCCAGATGCTAGCAGGGCAGGTGGTTGTCTTCCTCTCCCTGACCTGGACCACGCACCAGAGCCTGGCCATCCCCAGGATCACGGAATGTGGCCTCTCCTGTTCACAGGTGAGCCCCCACCTGGCCTGGCCCCCACAGCACAGGAGTAAGAGTGACAGGCAGGGCGGTGTGACACAGGAGGCTGAGCTGGCCTGTGGCCAGAGGTCCCAGCTGCGTGCTTGGCTGACCCTGCTGCACAGGCCAGAAGACTGCAGCCCCCGTCCACTGACCTTGCAAGGGCCCTCTAACCTTGCAGTCTGCACCGCCCCCATGTGTAGCCGCGCACTGCCTCATGGTGCGGGGCTCGGGGGGGGGGGCTTATGGTGGGGGGGTGCTCATCTGGGGAGGATTCATGGGGGGGACTCATGGAGGGGAAGACTCATCAGGAGGAGCTCATCTGGGGGGGCTTGTGTGGGTGAGAGGGGGCTTACTGGGGGGGAGGGTTCGTCCCAGGATGGGGACTTGTGGGGGGTCCTCCCTACAGGGCTGTGACTCATCTTTACCACAGGGAGGGTTTCACCAGCTCCACATATCCGGGAAGTCCAGGCCCAGACAGGACCCAGCTTGTCCCAGGAAGTGGTCCTGGTCCCCAAGTCAGCTGAGACTCAGTGGGGAGGGCATCATAGAGACGGGGGCAGGGGGACACCTCCAAGGGTGCTCACTGAACCCCTGGGGGAACCCTGGCCTCCAGCTCAGGCTATAGCAGGAAAACGGGAAAGCGCCAATGTGCCGTGGTGACAACGGTGAGGAGGACAGAGGGCAGGTGTGACGGGGACCAGGGGCAGTGCAGGCCTTTCCAGGCAGTAGGCGCTCACCCCAAAGCCCTCCCTTAGAAGAAGAGGAAGCTCTGCCAGGCCTGGGAGATGTCCCGGAGAGGGTGCAGGGGCTCAGCCAGGGACAGAGCAGGGCTGGTGGGGGTGGGCAGGAATGCTGGGCACCGCAGGCAGTCAGGCAGGAGGCCAGGAGGATGGAATGGGGGACAAGGACCAGGGACAGGAGGCTGAGACGAGAGGTGTGGAGGAGAGACGGGAGGTTGGGGATGAGGGGATGGGAGGCGGGCTCAGATGGAAGTGCAGGGAACCATGGGATCTGCTGGGGGGGATGAGTCGCATTGGAGGTTAGGGGGCTCCCTCCGGCTGCTGGTGGGGACCAGGGGGTGCAGAGGAAGCGGGGCGGGGAGGGGAGGGCGTCCAGTGGGAAGGGAGGTGGCCAAGACTAGCCTAGCAGAGGAGACAGGGAGTGGGTTGCTTTGGACATGATCTGGCAGGGGAGCCAGCAGAGGTGGGACCCTGGATGGGGTGGTGACGGGGAGAGGTGGGAAGAGTTTGAGCTCAGCCCCCCGGGGCGAGGCTGTTGTTAGATGCCATACAGTCCACTCCTTATGTACAACAGAAGGCAATGTTGCCAGTCCTGAGCCATCCTCACAATCGTTGCTACGTTTGAGTCCATTGTTGCAGCCACTGTGTTAGTCCATCTCCTTGAGGGTCTTCCTCTGTTTAACTGACTCTTTACCAAGCATGATGTCTGTCTCCAGGGACTGCTCCCTCCTGATAAGGTGCCCAAAGTAAGCCAGACGAAGTCTCACCATCCTCACATCTGAGGAGCATTCTGACCGTTCTTTTTCCAAGACAGATCTGTTCCTTCTTCTGGCAGTCCGTGGTATATTCAGTATTCTTCACCAACACCATAGTTCAAAGGCATCAGTTCTTCTGTCTTCCTTTTTCTTTGTCCAGCTCTCACATGCATATGAAGCAACTGAAAAGACCATGGCTTGGGTCAGGGGCACCTGAGTCATCAAAGTGACATCTTTGCTTTTTAAGATTTTGAAGAGGTCTTTTGGAGCAGATTTGCCCAATGCAATATTTCTTGACTGCTGCTTCCAAGGACTTTGATTGTTGATGCCAGTAAAATGAAATCCGTGAAAACTTCAGTCTTCTCTGGGTTTACCGTGATGTCTGAGGCGATGGGGGCGTTTCCTGAGGTGGGGGGCCAAAGGGGACAGGTGTGGGGAGGAAGCTTACTTTGAAATGTTGGTTTGTGAAGCCCAGTGAGGGCCAATGTGGGGCGGCAGCTGGACGCTCAGTGGTGTCCGGGGCCAGGTAGGCGCTGAGGTGTGGACAGCTGGGGATGAACCCTCCTGGGCCCCTGCAGCCTGAGGCTGCCACCAGGAGAAAGGGAGGAAGTGCTGGGGGTGTGAGGGAGGAAATGGAGGAAGTAGGCCAGGAGCTCTGGGGGCAGATGTGGAGGGGCAGTAGGGTGATCGGGTAAGGCGAGCTCGGCTAGTGCTGGGGACAGTGGGGAGGAGACAGGTATGTGACAGGGGGCAGGATGGGTGCCCCTGCCTGAGCTCAGGGACAGAGGGACTGCTGGAGGGGGTTCTCCGAAGACCCCTCTCATTGGAGCAGATCTGAGGAGGGGGCTGAGCAGAGGGTGGGGAAGAAAGGACGCAGCCCACGGGCAGGTGAGCAAGAGTGGGAGAAGGCCTGGGCCCTGGGGGCCCCAGGGAGCTCAGACCCCAGAAAGGAGAAACCATGGGTGCAGTGGGAACACTGCAGAGACCCCCTGCCCCAAGCCTCCCTACAGCACCAGCCGTAGGGGAGTCTTCAGTAAAGGAAAAAAGTCCTCGCTGACAGGTGGCAACAAGAACATCTGGGCACAGTGACAATGAACAGGTGGGGAGGCAGCGAGGGGACGCGGAGGACTCGGTACCCTGGGGCGCTGCGATCTCAGACGGGCCGGTCTGGCGGTCCCCCCTCTAGGGCCCCGTCTCCTCCCCACCCCCACCGCACCCCCACCTCGACAGGGGCTCAGAGAGGCTGAGAACGCCGGGTGGGGCCGTTTCCCAGGACGACCAGAGAGGTCAGAAGAGGGCAGGTTGGCTGGGAGGGCGAGGGGAGGCTGCCGCCCGGGACTTTCCGTCGGGGTTGGCGGGGCTTCCCACGACCGGGCCAGGTGGGGTGCCTGTGAGGAGAGACCCGCGCCAGATGCTCTGCTTTAGGGCCTGGAAGCCAGGCGGGGTCTCGGCCCCAAGCTGCCCCCACCTTGGCCTGCGCCTCTGCCAGAGGAAGGGCCAGCGGGAGGCAGAGAGCCCTGACGCCAGGGGAGGGCTTGGCCTCAACTTTCCCACCTGGAAAATGGGGACGAGGCCGCCGCCCGTTGGGGAGCGTGTGGAGCTAACCCAGAACCCGATGCATGGTGGGGAGCCCCGAGGACCTGGCGCTGCGCCCAGAGCTAGCTCCAGGCTCAACCAGGAGAGCTGAGGGTGGGCCTCGCAGCAGCGCAGTCAGGGCTGGTGGCCCCAGGCACAGGAATCCAGGCGCTTTCTCCCCGCAACCCTGGAGCCAGCTGGAGTGCGCAGCGCCCCAGGGGGCCTCGTCTTCCCCTGGCGCAGGGGGGAGGGGTAGGGGAACATGGGGTGCAGGGAGTGGGCGGGGAGTGCAGGGAGGAAGGGGCAGAGGTCTGACAGCCGGAGAGGGCCGAGGAGGGTCAGGGCCAAGGAGTGTCTGGCCCAGCATGGTAGTCATTGCTGTCTGTGGGTTTGGGGAGAGTGTGTGGGAGCTTACACCCACCAGGCACCCATGAAGACCGAGGGCCAGGCCCTAGGTGGGCTCCGGGCACAGGGGTGAGCTGGCCAGGCTGGAGTCGCTAGGCAGTGCCCGTCATCAAGACATGGCATAAACAGCATACAAGCCGTGGTTAAGAACACACGAACACCAGAAGATAAGCTAGGTAAATGGAATCTCCTAAAAATTATATGCTCATCAAAGGACTTCACCAAAAGAATAAAAAGAGAACCTACAGACTGGGAAAACAATTTTGACTATGACGTATCCGACAAAGGTCGAATCTCTAAAATCTATACGAAAATACAACACATCTACAAGATGAAGACAAATAATCCAATTAAAAAATGGGCAAAGGATATGAACAGACACTTCACCAAAGATGTTCAGGTGGCTCACAGACACACGAGGAAATGCTCACCATCGCCAGCCATGAGAGAAATGCAAATCAAAACTGCAGTGAGATACCATCTCGCTCTGACATTACTGGCATGCACCAAAAAAACAGAAAATAACAAATGTTGGAGAGGTTGCAGGGAGACTGGAACTCTTATGCACTGCTGGTGGGAATGCAAAATGGTACAACAATTTTGGAGAACGATATGGCGCTTCCTTACAAAGCTAGACATAGAAATACCATACAATCCAGCAATCCCACTCCTAGAAATATATTCTAGAGAAATAAGAGCTATCACATGAATAGACATATGCACACTCATATTCATTGCAGTATAATTCACAATAGCAAAAAGATGGAAACAACCTAGATGCCCATCAACAGATGAATGGATAAACAAACTATGGCACATACACACAATGGAGTACTACGCAAAGATAAAGAACAATGATGAATCTGCAAAACATCTCACAACATGGAGGAATCTGGAGGGCATTATGCTGAGTGAAACACATCAGCTACAAAAGGACAAATACATGAAACCATGTTATAAAAACTCAGGAAAGGGTTTACACACAGAAAAAACAATCTTTGTTGGTTACAAGGGAGGGGAGTGGTAGGGAGGGAAAAACACTAACTAGACAGTAGATCAGTGGTAACTTTGGTGAAAGGTAGGACAGTACACTCTACTGGGGAAGTCAGCACAACTTGGCCAGGGCAAAGTCATAGAAGCTTCACAGACACAACCGAATGCTCTGAGAGACCAAGCTACTGGGCTGAGGGCTGGGGACCATTGTCTCAGGGGACATCTAGCTCAATTGGCGTTACATAATCTATAAAGAAAATGTTCTACATCTGACTGTGGTGAGTAGCTACTGGGGTCTTAAAAGCCTGCGAGCGACCATCTAAGATACATCTATGGGTCCCATCCCTCCTAGAGCAAAGGAGAATAAAGACCAAATAGACACAAGGGAAAGATTAGTCCAAAAGATTAATGGACCACAACTACCACAACCTCCACCAGACTGAGCCCAGAACAACTAGACGGTGGCAGGTTACCACCACCGACTGCTCTGATAGGGATCACAATAGAGGGTCCTGGACAGAGC